GATGTAGACACAGTTGATATGTGAAATAGGTATAACTGTCAATCGTATACGAATGGGACGACGTGGACAGTGAGTGGAACAATAAATTTTTTTTACGATGGTGCGATTGACTTTGGAGGAATGCACCTGCCAAGCGTTGTTTGTGGTTGAAAACACACAAAAAAAGGCAGGGGTGGATGTAACTAGGGTAGGCCTAACTACTAGTTACAATCTGATGCAACTGATAACGAACGATAAGCCGCGACGCAGTATTACAGTCTGATGCAACTGATAGCAGGTGGCTTATTAAATCGGACTGATAACAATCTCAAAGCCAACGCGTGCTATTTTGGGAAACGGTACGAGGGGATTCAGACGGCCTGTCAACTTTGAGTGATAGGATGCAGATGTTTTATTAATCGGGCTGTACGTTAGAACTGCGCAACTAGTAGTCGGAGACATCGATTACAAATATCGATTACGGATGAATACAAGTACGAATACGAGTACGAATACAAGGGATAAATAGGAGGGGACGGCGGAGCTCTCTCTCTTTCGATCGCTCGCTTTAGATCAGTCAGTCTGTGTGACAGTTGGTTATAGAACGGGTTAGCCGTCTTGGGTTAAGAAGGACGATAGACATGTGGATTCAGTTATATGAAGCCTAGTGAGGACTGTTAGGGGTCAGTTGATTCAGACTATTATTGTGAAGCATTCCTGTTGATTCATTGTGTTATTTTGAAGCATTTCTTGATTCATGTAATAAAAGGATCAATAGCGAACCTGCATCTTCGAGTATTTCTACTGTAGTCGATGTTGTGTAGAATGAGTGGTTAAACTCGTTACATTTGGCACTACAGGCAAATAATCTCGTAACATGTGGCGTTGCGAGCAGGGTAACTGTTCGCTCGTTACATATATATATATATATATATATATATATATATATATATATATATATATATATATATATATACGAATATAGAAAATATTACAAATTCGGCGCCTTTTTTTGCTATTTTCGCTCCCCCTACACTAAAAACCTGGATACGCCTCTGCCGTGAACCGCGTATAATGCCCAGAATATGGCACATCAGGGTGCACGGGGAAAAATTCCATTAATTTTAGCCGGATATACGGAGATATAAGCAAAAATAATATAGTGTGTACGGGTAGGTTACACCCAGTCACCGGGGAAAGGGCTAGAGCTGGACCACACAGTCCTTGACCTTCTCACGGGTTGAGCTGTGTTGTGTTGGTCCTAGGTGTTTTGACCACAGGGGTTTGACCACAGCAGTGCTTTGACCACAGGGGTTTGACCACAGCAGAGCTTTGACCACAGGTGCTTTGACCACAGGGGTTTGACCACAACGGGGCTTTGATCACAGGGGGGGGGGGGATTAATCATAATATATAGATTTTAAAATATAAATTATAAACTGGTATCTCTATACTACTGAAACTCAACTTTGTTTACATGTTTGAATATTTATTTGTTTGATTTACTACTGGAGTGAATCTGCCATATGTATAGACCTGTAAAATAGTATGTAGGTAGAGAACAATTTTTCTTTTCAGACAGACAGTTAATCACAAATTTATTTAAAGACGTTAATTAATTTATTGATGTATTCATTGGTAGATTGACCACATTAATTTTAAAAGTTTAAAACAATAGCTTTATTTTGACTGAATAGAGACGTCACATTATTTGTTTGCTTTTTAGTACAATAAAATGGCGGCATCTATCGAAGAAGATTGTGTTCCCATTCCAATGTTTAACGCGTTCTAAAGCTAATTTTCTGTCGGCTATAACTTTAACAATACGTCCGTTTGCAGTATTTATTACGTTCCAACACTTATATCAATTTTCAACTGTCTTTTTCATTTAGTTTTACAATAAATTGCTCTAGCTCTACAATCTGTCCAAGTTATTAATAGATCTAAATATCAGGTGGCCAAGAAAGTTATTTATAGATCTAGATCTAGAATCTAGGTCAAACCAAAGATTAATTTAATTAGATACAATTTAAAACCAAAGATTAATTAGATAAAAATACAATCCATTTTATAATCATAATACATTTTTTAAGTCCTTAAATACTTGATATAAATCTTTGTGATTTATCTATCTAGATCTAGATCTATCTACAGAGCCGGCGTTAGGAATACGCGGGGCCTAGGGCCAACCATCCGCGCGGGGCCTTTCCATTATATATATATATATATATATATATATATATATATATATATATATATATAGGCCTATATAATGTGATGTACACACAATAACACAAATGTTTTGGAGTTTATAAGCTAATGTCAAACTTTCCACTATAATAACAGATTTTTATCTCTCATGTATTAACCCAATGTTCGTAGTTTTTTTTTCCTTTGCTAAGATATTAAATCACTTTTGACAGTTATGTAATTCATACCAAATCACTTAAGAAAGTTTAATCACGTGCCGAATAATTAGGAAAATAAAGTTTACAATACAGCGAACTCGGCCTGATGTATCAAAACAGTATAGACTTCAAAATTCATAAAATATTTTAAAACCAAAATCATTATTGTCTTAATTATTGAACGGGTGAATCCTTAAGGTGACACAACATAACAACAGTTTTAACTTTCTTCCAAAACATAATAATAAATCACTCTGTTTAATGCCGCCTGATATAGATCCTAAGGGCCTCACCCCCTCGTCGCCCTCCTCTCACCCCTCTGCACGCAACTGAATGTTAATTTTGTTATACCAAGACAAGTAGGCCTACATATAGAGTTTCTTCCAGGCATCTCTTCGAAAACGAAATGAAATTTATATAATTTATATAGAAAATATATACTTTTAACAGTGTCCGCCCCCCCCCCGAAGAAAATCTACCGCCCCCCTCCCCCGGAAATTTCAAGTGCCCTCCCCACCCCCCCCCCCGGTGAAAAAAGTCTGGAAGAAACACTGTACATATACGACATTATACGACATCTACAACAAGAAAGTCAGGACTAGAGTTCATCAGGTCACTAACTGTCTACTACAGACATCCCGTCTGCTCACTAAAAGGACGTCTTCATGGGTCCGCATACAATTGACAATAGGGTATCTCTTTACGTCGTGGGCTAATTCTCCAGTCAGCTCAGGTCAAATGCCAGGCGACCGTACCCTACACAGAGGGGAGGTGTGTGGCACTGTTTTTTGTATAGAATTACGGCCTTTCCCAGTTCAGGTGGGTGATAACTCAATAACATCAACCGTGGCCTCAGTTATAACAATCAACAACGTCGGCATTCGACCATTTAGTTTTCCCCAATTGAATTCAGAAACATTTTTTTTTTAAGTTTACAAACTAATTCAGATAACAATGACAGTGCTGAAGCGCGGGGCCCCTTCAAGCGCGGGGCCCCTTCAAGCGCGGGGCCTATGGCGACCGCCCCGTTCGCCACCCCATAACGCCGGCTCTGTCTATCTAGCTAGAATAGGTCTAATAGTCTAATGATTAGATCTAGATCTAGCAAGAGTTACGAAATAATTATCATTAAAACAGTTTTTAAAAACCCACGTTTTCTGATTGAACTAAAAAGTAGAAAATAAATGCTATACATCACAATAATGCAAGCGATCACTCTACTATAAGCGATGAAAAACGTGGGGCGCCGAAGTAAAAGTTTTTTTATCGGTCATTGTTAATGTAAGATGTAAAAGTTATATTACTATTGATTAGATAATACTATTGACTTTTATTAGGGAGCTTGTGGAGAGTCAACAGTATTGGAAACTGTAAGAAAATCATACAGTTATAATAATATGATAATTATTTTCTACTTTTTAGTCTTTGTCTGTTTGTTTGCATTCAAATCTTGCTATCGATTTGATCTTCTCGCATTCACTTTTTTTTGGGTAAACGAAGACAACTCGTAAAAAACACGTGCCTTTTCCAATCGACGTTTCTTCTGTGTTAGATTTGCATAGGTTTGTACACAAACACCGCGTGACCACTACTCAGTAAGCCTGAAGAGGGAAAGTACCGAACCTTGTTTTCATCAAATTACAATTACTAGGTTATGTCCCTTTTTTGTACAAATATATAGAGGTCTAAAATGATAAAAAAAAATGTTTCCATGGATCAATTTAGTAATCATAACAATTGAATATTGTATTGTCATCGGAAACAAAGCTTCCCTGAAAGTTTCAGCGCGCTAGCTAACTGGGAAGTGCACGAAATTTCGATCGCAAGATTTGATTGGAAAACCAAACAGACGCGAAAGCAAGTTAAGTTAAAGAAAACGTGGGAAAAATAGGACTTTATAAGACTTAAGCAAACGAGTCGTAGAATCTAGATAACTTCAGACCTTATATAATATAAATCTTTGTTTGTTTAGCTATGTAATTGGCTAATTTAAGATAAAATTTAATTTGAAAGTTACTACTACTAGACTTAGATCTAGATCTATGCGCGTAAATCAAGTTGCATAAGGAGACTCAAAGTATTAAACTATACTATAAAAACATCAATGGTGTCACGAGTTAAATAGCTAAGTTGTTAGTGTAACCGGCTTTATGCTGGTGGCACGGGTTCGAGACACGACAATGGTATGTTTTAGTTTTTCAATTTTCTTTATTTTTGAGATGTAAATGATAAAGTTGCCTATCTGAACTTGGCGGGATACAGGGAAGGTGAAGTAGAGTTCATCTGTTTCTTTGTCCAAAGCATATGAAGGGATAGTGTGGTCAGAGACATGCTCGGCTTGAATCGTTTTTTTAAACGATAAAAACATGTCTGAGACTTGGCGGGACACTGGGCAGGTGAAGTAGAGTAGGTCATCTGAAGGGATAGTCCGAAATCGGTGTTTTTAAAAGATAAAAAACATCTTTTTGAATATGGGTTCTGGTTTTTTTGTGACGATAAGTGACAGACGTGATGTTTTTTTATGGATGACCCCCGAAACCCAGTTATCCAAGGTAAGTACGTTAATAGAAATTAACATGTTTTAAAAAAGTCAAGAACGATATTTTAGTCTCCACATAAAGGTTGGTGCTAGGCCTCATAGATTTATTTGAACGATAAATGGAATACAAATAATGCGACATATAGCAAGTTTCACAAATAAATAATGTAGATGTACTTGAAAATACATATAGAAAGAATAAAAAAAATTATAAAAATCTTGCCAAAGAAGAAATACTTAAAATGGTTAACGAAATGACAGATGTGCTATAGCACGCAAATATGTCAGTACATCTGTTTGACCATATGTCTGGACAGCACGTTGTACTTTTTCGTGCAGCATCTTGTATCGCTTCTCAGCTGAGTAGCTTGCTCCCGCGACACCTTGTCATCTAAACCCCTCTATCTCAAAACCATGAAGAATCTTGAAGAGTATAGCACGCCAAAAAAGCTATAAGAACTTTGTTTTATCGTGGCCATGAATTTTGGTTTCACAGAGAACGCCAGGACGGGTCACGCGTTTGGCGGTGTACGAATTCCTCAGGTGATAGCCGTACCCATTAGAGCCGGATTTAAGAATTTCAAGATGTTCATCCTAGATGTTATTAAACACAATTAAAAGAAAAAGTATTCTCCTATATAAAGATTGTCGGTTTTTAGTTTTAGATGATTAATAATGTAATAATAATATAATGATTAATAATGTAATCAAAATGTCTTTTTAAAGAGGTACACACATCTTTCAAGGAGACAGAACTGTTGGGAGGGGGAGAGGGTCACTCAACTGCTTGAGGTAGGACATCACGTGACAAGATTCAAGAGTTTTGATTGGCTGCTCACAGCTGTGTGTACAGGTGGGTGTGGTACAGGTCACTGCTGGATGACACTGGATTGGCCACGGATGCTATTTGTGGATGGGACGAAGACAACGCTGGATATTTCCGCTCGACTGGCGCCGTATGCTGAAGTAAGTCTTTCAGCTCTTGCCTGACGCCTGCCAAAATCTCCGACTTCAGCCAGTCAAGGTCAACCAAGGTCAGTCCGCCAGGCCTGTCGGGCGCTTCGTATGAGCTATTTATAGAACGTGTTTCTTGCGAGAACTGCGGCATGTAAAGTGTTCTTCCACAGTGTGTGGTCAGGGTGTGGTTGGGTGCGGTCAGGGTGTGGTTGGGTGCGGTCAGGGTGTGGTTGGGTGCGGTCAGGGTGTGGTTGGGTGCGGTCAGGGTGTGGTTGGGTGCGGTCAGGGTGTGGTTGGGTGCGGTCAGGGTGTGGTTGGGTGAGAGCCCGTTAACCAGCGTGGTGGTGGGTGGGATGGGCGAGAGCCGACCCAGCGTGTGGTGAAGGTCACGTCTTAGGCTGTCCATGTGAGAAGTTGTTCGAATCATTTCACGTCTCCGATCCTCGCGAAGCTCAAATCTGGACAAGTGTCAGAGACAGGTTAGACAACTGGTAGCTAGAGACTAACAGAGACAGGTTAGACAACTGATAGCTTGAGACTAACCAGTGGCGTAGCGAGGTCGGGTGTCACCCGGTGCGGCACTTAATGGTGTCACCCCCCCCCCAGAGGCATAGAGACCCTTCCCAGGGACATACTTTCAAATTTTCGATTTGCACCCCCCCCTCAAACTTTCGATTTGCACCCCCCCTCAAGTTTTCGATTTGCACCCCCCCCTCAAACTTTCGATTTGCACCCCCCCCTCGAGTTTTTCTCTATATATTTTGCTATTTTTTGCCTTGGTGTCACCCCCCTAAATGGTGTCACCCGGTGCGGTCCGCACCCCCCGCCCCCCTCCTCGCTACGCCCCTGAGACTAACAGAGACAGGTTAGACAACTGGTAGCTAGAGACTAACAGAGACAGGTTAGACAACTGGTAGCTAGAGACTAACAGAGACAGGTTAGACAACTGGTAGCTAGAGACTAACAGAGACAGGTTAGACAACTGATAGCTAGAGACTAACAGAGACAGGTTAGACAACTGGTAGCTACAGACTAACAGAGACAGGTTAGACAACTGGTAGCTAGAGACTAACAGAGACAGGTTAGACAACTGGTAGCTAGAGACTAACAGAGACAGGTTAGACAACTGGTAGCTAGAGACTAACAGAGACAGGTTAGACAACTGGTAGCTAGAGACTAACAGAGACAGGTTAGACAACTGATAGCTAGAGACTAACAGAGAGCGACAAGACAAGACCAACCTGAGACTAGAAATATCTTGTTTGATCTCCAAAAGATCGTCCTCGCTGACGCCATCTTGTCTCGACATCTTCTTGCTCTGGTGGATGTAGCGACAGATCAACCTCCTCATCACGTCCTGGGGTCAAACACATGGGTCAAACACATGGGTCAAACACATGGGTCGAACATATGGGTCAAACACATGGGTCAAACACATGGGTCAAACACATGGCTCAAACACATGGCTCAAACACATGGCTCAAACACATGGCTCAAACATATGGGTCAAACACATGGCTCAAACACATGGCTCAAACACATGGCTCAAACACATGGCTCAAACACATGGCTCAAACACATGGGTCAAACACATGGGTCAAACTTTCAAAGTCTGGTAGTGCTTGCCCAACACACCTGGTACTGCTGCCCCACACACCTGGTACTGCTGCCCCACACACCTGGTACTGCTGCCCCACACACCTGGTACTGCTGCCCCACACACCTGATACTGCTGCCCCACACACCTGGTACTGCTGCCCCACACACCTGGTACTGCTGCCCCACACACCTGGTACTGCTGCCCCACACACCTGGTACTGCTGCCCCACACACCTGGTACTGCTGCCCCACACACCTGGTACTGCTGCCCCACACACCTGGTACTGCTGCCCCACACACCTGGTACTGCTGCCCCACACACCTGGTACTGCTGCCCCACACACCTCACCTGGTACTGCTGCCCCACACACCTCACCTGGTACTGCTGCCCCACACACCTCACCTGGTACTGCTGCCCCACACACCTCACCTGGTACTGCTGCCCCACACACCTGGTACTGCTGCCCCACACACCTCACCTGGTACTGCTGCCCCACACACCTGGTACTGCTGCCCCACACACCTCACCTGGTACTGCTGCCCCACACACCTCACCTGGTACTGCTGCCCCACACACCTCACCTGGTACTGCTGCCCCACACACCTCACCTGGTACTGCTGCCCCACACACCTCACCTGGTACTGCTGACCCACACACCTCACCTGGTACTGCTGACCCACACACCTCACCTGGTACTGCTGACCCACACACCTCACCTGGTACTGCTGACCCACACACCTCACCTGGTACTGCTGACCCACACACCTCACCTGGTACTGCTGACCCACACACCTCACCTGGTACTGCTGACCCACACACCTCACTTGGTACTGCTGACCCACACACCTCACCTGGTACTGCTGACCCACACACCTCACCTGGTACTGCTGACCCACACACCTCACTTGGTACTGCTGCCCCACACACCTCACTTGGTACTGCTGCCCCACACACCTCACTTGGTACTGCTGCCCCACACACCTGGTACTGCTGCCCCACACACCTGGTACTGCTGCCCCACACACCTGGTACTGCTGCCCCACACACCTGGTACTGCTGCCCCACACACCTGGTACTGCTGCCCCACACACCTGGTACTGCTGCCCCACACACCTGGTACTGCTGCCCCACACACCTGGTACTGCTGCCCCACACACCTGGTACTGCTGCCCCACACACCTGGTACTGCTGACCCACACACCTCACTTGGTACTGCTGCCCCACACACCTGGTACTGCTGCCCCACACACCTGGTACTGCTGCCCCACACACCTGGTACTGCTGCCCCACACACCTGGTACTGCTGCCCCACACACCTGGTACTGCTGCCCCACACACCTGGTACTGCTGCCCCACACACCTGGTACTGCTGCCCCACACACCTGGTACTGCTGCCCCACACACCTGGTACTGCTGCCCCACACACCTGGTACTGCTGCCCCACACACCTGGTACTGCTGACCCACACACCTGGTACTGCTGCCCACACACCTGGTACTGCTGACCCACACACCTGGTACTGCTGACCCACACACCTGGTACTGCTGACCCACACAACTGGTACTGCTGACCCACACACCTGGTACTGCTGACCCACACACCTGGTACTGCTGACCCACACACCTGGTACTGCTGACCCACACACCTGGTACTGCTGACCCACACACCTCATTTGGTACTGCTGACCCACACACCTCATTTGGTACTGCTGACCCACACACCTGGTACTGCTGACCCACACACCTGGTACTGCTGCCCCACACACCTGGTACTGCTGCCCCACACACCTGGTACTGCTGCCCCACACACCTGGTACTGCTGCCCCACACACCTGGTACTGCTGCCCCACACACCTGGTACTGCTGCCCCACACACCTGGTACTGCTGCCCCACACACCTGGTACTGCTGCCCCACACACCTGGTACTGCTGCCCCACACACCTGGTACTGCTGCCCCACACACCTGGTACTGCTGCCCCACACACCTGGTACTGCTGACCCACACACCTGGTACTGCTGCCCACACACCTGGTACTGCTGACCCACACACCTGGTACTGCTGCCCCACACACTTGGTACTGCTGCCCCACACACCTGGTACTGCTGACCCACACACCTGTTACTGCTGACCCACACACCTCACCTGGTACTGCTGCCCACACACCTCACCTGGTACTGCTGCCCCACACACCTCACCTGGTACTGCTGACCCACACAACACACCTGGTACTGCTGCCCCACACACCTCACCTGGTACTGCTGCCCCACACACCTCACCTGGTACTGCTGCCCACACACCTCACCTGGTACTGCTGACCCACACACCTCACCTGGTACTGCTGACCCACACACCTCACCTGGTACTGCTGACCCACACACCTCACCTGGTACTGCTGACCCACACACCTCATTTGGTACTGCTGACCCACACACCTGGTACTGCTGCCCCACACACCTGGTACTGCTGACCCACACACCTCACCTGGTACTGCTGACCCACACACCTCACCTGGTACTGCTGACCCACACACCTGGTACTGCTGACCCACACACCTCACCTGGTACTGCTGACCCACACATCTCACCTGGTACTGCTGACCCACACACCTCACCTGGTACTGCTGACCCACACACCTCACCTGGTACTGTTGACCCACACACCTCACCTGGTACTGCTGACCCACACACCTCACCTGGTACTGCTGACCCACACACCTCACCTGGTACTGCTGACCCACACACCTCACCTGGTACTGCTGACCCACACACCTCACCTGGTACTGCTGACCCACACACCTGGTACTGCTGACCCACACACCTGGTACTGCTGACCCACACAACACACCTGGTACTGCTGACCCACACACCTCACCTGGTACTGCTGACCCATACACCTCACCTGGTACTGCTGACCCACACACCTCACCTGGTACTGCTGACCCACACACCTCACCTGGTACTGCTGACCCACACACCTCACCTGGTACTGCTGACCCACACACCTCACCTGGTACTGCTGACCCACACACCTCACCTGGTACTGCTGACCCACACACCTCACCTGGTACTGCTGACCCACACAACACACCTGGTACTGCTGACCCACACACCTCACCTGGTACTGCTGACCCACACACCTCACCTGGTACTGCTGACCCACACACCTCACCTGGTACTGCTGACCCACACACCTCACCTGGTACTGCTGACCCACACACCTCACCTGGTACTGCTGACCCACACACCTCACCTGGTACTGCTGACCCACACACTTCACCTGGTACTGCTGACCCACACACCTCACCTGGTACTGCTGACCCACACAGCTGGTACTGCTGACCCACACACCTGGTACTGCTGACCCACACACCTCACCTGGTACTGCTGACCCACACACCTCACCTGGTACTGCTGACCCACACATCTCACCTGGTACTGCTGACCCACACACCTGGTACTGCTGACCCACACACCACACCTGGTACTGCTGACCCACACACCTCACCTGGTACTGCTGACCCACACACCTCACCTGGTACTGCTGACCCACACACCTCACCTGGTACTGCTGACCCACACACCTCACCTGGTACTGCTGACCCACACACCTCACCTGGTACTGCTGACCCACACACCTGGTACAGCTGACCCACAAACCTGGTACTGCTGACCCACACACCTGGTACTGCTGCCCCACACACCTGGTACTGCTGCCCCACACACCTGGTACTGCTGACCCACACACCTGGTACTGCTGACCCACACACCTCACCTGGTACTGCTGACCCACACACCTCACCTGGTACTGCTGACCCACACACCTCACCTGGTACTGCTGACCCACACACCTGGTACTGCTGACCCACACACCTGGTACTGCTGACCCACACACCTCACCTGGTACTGCTGACCCACACACCTCACCTGGTACTGCTGACCCACACACCTCACCTGGTACTGCTGACCCACACACCTCACCTGGTACTGCTGACCCACACACCTCACCTGGTACTGCTGACCCACACACCTCACCTGGTACTGCTGACCCACACACCTCACCTGGTACTGCTGACCCACACACCTCACCTGGTACTGCTGACCCACACACCTCACCTGGTACTGCTGACCCACACACCTCACCTGGTACTGCTGACCCACACACCTGGTACTGCTGACCCACACAACACACCTGGTACTGCTGACCCACACACCTGGTACTGCTGACCCACACAACACACCTGGTACTGCTGACCCACACACCTCACCTGGTACTGCTGACCCACACACCTCACCTGGTACTGCTGACCCACACAACTCACCTGGTACTGCTGACCCACACACCTCACCTGGTACTGCTGACCCACACACCTCACCTGGTACTGCTGACCCACACAACACACCTGGTACTGCTGCCCCACACACCTGGTACTGCTGACCCACACACCTGGTACTGCTGACCCACACAACTCACCTGGTACTGCTGACCCACACACCTCACCTGGTACTGCTGACCCACACACCTGGTACTGCTGACCCACACAGCTCACCTGGTACTGCTGACCCACACACCTGGTACTGCTGACCCACACACCTCACCTGGTACTGCTGACCCACACACCTGGTACTGCTGACCCACACACCTGGTACTGCTGACCCACACAGCTCACCTGGTACTGCTGACCCACACACCTGGTACTGCTGACCCACACAACACACCTGGTACTGCTGACCCACACAACACACCTGGTACTGCTGACCGACACAACACACCTGGTACTGCTGCCCCACACACCTCACCTGGTACTGCTGACCCACACGCCTGGCACTGATGCCCCACACACCTCACCTGGTACTGCTGACCCACACACCTGGTACTGCTGACCCACACAACTCACCTGGTACTGCTGACCCACACACCTGGTACTGCTGACCCACACAACTCACCTGGTACTGCTGACCCACACACCTGGTACTGCTGACCCACACAACACACCTGGTACTGCTGACCCACACACCTGGTACTGCTGACCCACACAACTCACCTGGTACTGCTGACCCACACAACACACCTGGTACTGCTGCCCCACACACCTCACCTGGTACTGCTGACCCACACACCTGGTACTGCTGACCCACACACCTGGTACTGCTGACCCACACAACTCACCTGGTACTGCTGCCCCACACACCTCACCTGGTACTGCTGACCCACACACCTGGTACTGCTGACCCACACACCTGGTACTGCTGACCGACACAACACACCTGGTACTGCTGCCCCACACACCTCACCTGGTACTGCTGACCCACACGCCTGGCACTGATGCCCCACACAACTCACCTGGTACTGCTGACCCACACACCTCACCTGGTACTGCTGACCCACACACCTCACCTGGTACTGCTGACCCACACACCTGGTACTGCTGACCCACACACCTCACTTTGTACTGCTGACCCACACACCTCACCTGGTACTGCTGACCCACACACCTGGCACTGATGCCCCACACAACTCACCTGGTACTGCTGACCCACACACCTCACCTGGTACTGCTGACCCACACACCTGGTACTGCTGACCCACACACCTCACTTGGTACTGCTGACCCACACACCTGGTACTGCTGACCCACACAACTCACCTGGTACTGCTGACCCACACACCTCACCTGGTACTGCTGACCCACACACCTGGTACTGCTGACCCACACACCTGGTACTGCTGACCCACACAACTCACTTGGTACTGCTGACTTACACACCTGGTACTGCAGCCCCACACACCTGGTACTGCTGACCCACACAACTCACCTGGTACTGCTGCCCCACACACCTGGTACTGCTGACCCACACACCTGGTACTGCTGACCCACACACCTGGTACTGCTGACTTACACACCTGGTACTGCTGACCCACACACCTCACCTGGTACTGCTGACCCACACACCTCACCTGGTACTGCTGACCCACACACCTCACTTGGTACTGCTGACCCACACACCTCACCTGGTACTGCTGACTTACACACCTGGTACTGCTGACCCACACACCTCACCTGGTACTGCTGACCCACACACCTCACCTGGTACTGCTGACCCACACACCTCACCTGGTACTGCTGACCCACACAACACACCTGGTACTGCTGACCCACACACCTCACCTGGTACTGCTGACCCACACACCTCACCTGGTACTGCTGACCCACACACCTCACTTGGTACTGCTGACCCACACACCTGGTACTGCTGACCCACACACCTCACCTGGTACTGCTGACCCACACACCTGGTACTGCTGACCCACACAACACACCTGGTACTGCTGACCCACACAACTCACCTGGTACTGCTGACCCACACACCTCACCTGGTACTGCTGACCCACACAACTCACCTGGTACTGCTGACCCACACACCTCACCTGGTACTGCTGACCCACACACCTGGTACTGCTGACCCACACACCTGGTACTGCTGACCCACACACCTCACCTGGTACTGCTGACTTACACACCTGGTACTGCAGCCCCACACACCTGGTACTGCTGACCCACACAACTCACCTGGTACTGCTGCCCCACACACCTGGTACTGCTGACCCACACACCTGGTACTGCTGACCCACACACCTGGTACTGCTGACTTACACACCTGGTACTGCAGCCCCACACACCTGGTACTGCTGACCCACACACCTCACCTGGTACTGCTGACCCACACACCTCACCTGGTACTGCTGACCCACACAACTCACCTGGTACTGCTGACCCACACACCTGGTACTGCTGACCCACACACCTCACCTGGTACTGCTGACCCACACACCTGGTACTGCAGCCCCACACACCTGGTACTGCTGACCCACACACCTGGTACTGCTGACCCACACAACTCACCTGGTACTGCTGACCCACACACCTGGTACTGCTGACCCACACACCTGGTACTGATGCCCCACACACCTGGTACTGCTGACCCACACACCTCACCTGGTACTGCTGACCACTGTCTATCTTGGCTGACGCGGGTTCTACTTGCGGAATGTTGACAAGGCCGGCACTGGAAGGTCTCTGGAGATGATATGGAGGTCAAACTACTGTGTGGGACAAAACTACTGTGTGGGACAAAACTACTGTGTGGGATAAAACTAGCTAAACATCAAACATTTGGGTCAAACTACTTTTTGGGATAAAACTTAACTAGCTAAACATCAAACATTTGGGTCAAAATAGTTTAATTCAAATAACAAAAAGTAAAACTGCCCCATCTAGAACTAAACAAAAATTCAAAACGAAATTTTTAATTCAAATACAATCAAAGAGAAATTAGTCATTAAATAATTCAATAATACAATACAGCTCACTCCCCTGAATGATTTCTATCCACGATAAAACCGTGTTTTTAACCAAATGAACCAAATGAAAAAGTGCAGATGAATCCTGGGTAAGGTGGCAAACAGATAACTGCGAAACGAAAAACTGCGCAACCAGAGAAATGCGCTAATACAAACTTCTTATACTAGATCTAATACACTTTATTTTTGTCCTTTTTTTTTGTCATTATTTTTTTGGAAAAGTGTTTTATTATGCACTTTTTGTTTGCGTAGTTTTCCGTTGCGCAGTTTTCCGTGGGGGGGGGGGGGGGGGGGGGATCGCACCGGGTAACAAAATAAATATAAAAAAAAAACCCCGATCATATCAGTTAAATAAATGATTAATTAGAGTTAAAAAGTCTTTTAATTAAGAGAAAAATTGACAAACCCCCACAAGGATTTGGCGAGGGGGGGGGGGGGGGGGAAGGGGGGGATGTCACACCATGGTTTAAACCTGCAAACGATATAGAAAATGTCACACTGCCTCAATGGGGATGCCTATTTATTACCCACTGGAGGTGTTGTGTTTAAAAGGGCTGACCCTGAGATATAGCACACAATGGAACGACGTTGTTGTTTTCAACTACTGGATTTATTGACATTAACATCCAAGCCAACCGGCTATGTAGACAGTAGAAACTTAGAACACAGTAGAAAGATTGTAGAAAACACTGTAGAAAGATTGTAGAAAACACCGTAGAAAGATTGTAGAAAACACTGTAGAAAGATTGTAGAAAACACTGTAGAAAGATTGTAGAAAACACTGTAGAAAGATTGTAGAAAACACTGTAGAAAGATTGTAGAAAACACTGTAGAAAGATTGTAGAAAACACTGTAGAAAGATTGTAGAAAACACAGTAGAAAGATTGTAGAAAACACTGTAGAAAGATTGTAGAAAACACTGTAGAAAGATTGTAGAAAACACTGTAGAAAGATTGTAGAAAACACTGTAGAAAGATTGTAGAAAACACTGTAGAAAGATTGTAGAAACACAGTAGAAAGATTGTAGAAAACACAGTAGAAAGATTGTAGAAAACACTGTAGAAAGATTGTAGAAAACACAGTAGAAAGATTGTAGAAAACACTGTAGAAAGATTGTAGAAAACACAGTAGAAAGATTGTAGAAAACACTGTAGAAAGATTGTAGAAAACACAGTAGAAAGATTGTAGAAAACACTGTAGAAAACACTGTAGAAAACACTGTAGAAAGATTGTAGAAAACACTGTAGAAAGATTGTAGAAAACACTGTAGAAAGATTGTAGAAAACAGTGTAGAAAGATTGTAGAAAACACTGTAGAAAGATTGTAGAAAACACTGTAGAAAGATTGTAGAAAACAGTGTAGAAAGATTGTAGAAAACAGTGTAGAAAGATTGTAGAAAACACTGTAGAAAGATTGTAGAAAACACTGTAGAAAGATTGTAGAAAACACTGTAGAAAGATTGTAGAAAACAGTGTAGAAAGATTGTAGAAAACAGTGTAGAAAGATTGTAGAAAACACTGTAGAAAGATTGTAGAAAACACTGTAGAAAGATTGTAGAAAACAGTGTAGAAAGATTGTAGAAAACAGTGTAGAAAGATTGTAGAAAACAGTAGCCCTAAAACAAATGTAAACAATAGATTACATCACTGAAAATACTACCACGAGCAGGCTACACAAATACACGGGTGTAATACAATAGGTTACAGTACACAATATTGCCAACAAGTACCAATAAGTATTATAATAATAAATACTTAACTAAATACTTAACCTAACTAGTGAGCAACATGCAGCACTAGCAGGAATACACAAATAATTACATTAAGATACTTCATACCTAGTCTGCAACATGCAGCACTAGCAGGAATAGTACAGTAATATAAAACATAATTTACATTACTTTCATTAGGTCTACATGATCTACTTATCATAGACAACGGCACTGTCCGTGTCCACAGCAGCCTTGGGTCTGAATGACACGGACACAGGCACGAACCACCCAGAGTCACATGACACGGACACAGGCACGAACCACCCAGAGTCACATGACACGGACACAGGCACGAACCACCCAGAGTTCCATGACATGGGACACGGGTAAAAATCGCTCACAGAAGAACAATAAAAAAACTAGGCCCTTCATCAACAGTTGCGGTCCCACAGGGGTCGAAACCCAATAAATTATAATTTATAATTTATCCCCCTTGACTGGTAACAATGATATGTGTTACAAAAACAATATTACAGTTTAAAGCTATCACCGGGCGAGTAGAAGGGGGGGGGGGGGGGTTGACACCAACTAAACGTTGCAAAAGAATTTCTTGAGCTAAGTGTTTTCTAATTGTAATAACTGAACCGTCAATCCACGTCTGGGGTGGGTTGAGGGGGGGGGGGGCGTTTTACCAAAGCTAATAATTTACTACAAATATAATGATTTTTCCCACTTTAATTAATTAATAACTGTTAGAGTTAGGTCCCTCTATGCCATTTCTTGGTGGATTAAAATGTTTGCACAGATTAAGGCCTTTCGACAGAAAGTTCGGGGAATGACACCAAATACAACGTCCATCGAAGTGGATTAGGGTGAAACCACATGGGAAATTTACAAATCTACAAATCATTCTTTTTCACGGATTTTTGTCTTTGTCACAAATATTTTTCAATAGGATAAATGGCCCGTTGAGGAAGAAATACTACAGGCACTAGGTTGATAGTGTTGTCTTTTTCTCTAAGGGGGTCATCCATAAATGACGTCACACTCGTAGGGGGGAGGGGGCGTCCGTAATTTTGTGACGATGTGTGATGATGGGGGAGGGGGTTCAGATGTTGCGACGTCACACTTTTGCATTATAAAAAAGCAATGTTAGAAAACGAATTTTGGACGTTATTTCGCGTTTTAGATAACTGTTTTAATAAATTGTAATAGTTTAGACAAGATTTTGGAAAAATATCGATGTTTAAAAAAAATTCAACTGCAATTTTGAGGGGGGTTGTAGGTTGAGGTGTGACGTCATTTTAGGGGGGGGGTCTGGCTTTTTGTGACGACGTGTGACGGAGGGGAGGGGGGAGGTAAAAATCGTCAAAAAAGCGTGACGTCATTTATGGATGACCCCTAAACCCAAACCAATTTTTTATTTTGCTTGGGTTTCCTCTATAGTTAGCGTTCCCAACAGTTAGTGTGACAGAACAGTGAAACTATTATTATAAGTTAGCGTTCCCAACAGAAAGTGTGACAGAACAGTGAAACTATTATTATAGATAAGTAATAAGTTAAATATAAACATGTCGTTTTCAATCTATATACTACTAAAAGTCAAGTTTGTTTACATGTTTGAATATTTATTTTTTTGTTTTTTTGTTTGTTTGTTTGTTTGCCTGATTGACTATCTCGCATGGTTGCACTCATCGTGGAAAGCTGTAAAATAGTATGTAGGTAGAGAAAAATTTTTGTTTTAAGACAGACTGTTAATCACAAATTTATTTAAAGACGTTAATTAATTTATTGATTTATTCATTGTTAAATTAACCGTATTTTTTAAAAAATGTTAATACTTTGAATAAACTTTGTGGGGATAGTGACGTCCCTTGATGTGTTTACTTTTTTGGTACAATAAAAATGGCGGACTCCATCATAGACTTTGTGGCCCATTCAAAAGTTTAACGCGTTACAAAGCTAATTTTCTGCCGGCTATAACTTAAACAATACGTCCGTTTGCTGTATTTATTACGTTCCAACACTTATATCAATTTTCAACTGTCTTTTTCATTTAGTTTTACGATAAAATTCTCTAGATCTAAAGATCAGCTGTCGAAGGAAAGTTATGAAGCTAGCCTAGATCTAGATCTATCTAGATCTAGCCTAGATGTAGGTCACTAGACTCAATGTAAATTCTAGATCTAGACTTAATGTAAATTCTACATCTAGAATCTATTTCAGGCCTTAATCATTTTATATAAATCTTTGTTTGGCTAATTTAAGATAAAATTTAATTTGAAAGTTACTACTACTAGACTTAGATCTAGATCTATGCGCGGAGACTCAAAAGTATAGTATAAAAATTCACTTGTGACGTCACGAGTAAATAGCTAAGTTGGTAGCGTAGTCCGCTCTCATGGGGGTGGCACAGGTTCTAGACCAATATGTCAATGATATTTTTTTTTTCAATTTTTTTTTTTTTTAGATGTGAATGATAAAGTTGCCTATCTGAACTTGGCAGGATACAGGGCAGGTGAAGTAGAGTTCATCTGTTTCTTTGTCCTAAGCATATGAAAGGATAGTGTGGTCAGAGACATGCTCGGCTGGAATCGTTTTTTAAACGATAAAAACATGTTGTCTGAGACTTGGCGGGACACTGGGCAGGTGAAGTAGAGTTGAGTAGGTCACATGTGACGTCAGTATATGAAGGGATACTCCGAAATCGGTGTTTTCGGTATTTTTAAAAGATAAAAAACATATTTTTGAATGTGGGGTCTGTTTTTTGTGACGATAAGTGACACTGCAGTAGCGTAGCGAGGAGGGGGGGCGGGGCGGGAGGGGAGGGGAGGCGGGGGGGGGGAAGGGGAGGCGGGAGGAGGTGGAGGGGGGAAGGGGGGGGGCGGGGGGACATATGTTGGGGCGCCAAAATGGTTTGGAGAAATAAATTGAAAGGTTGAGGGGGGTTCAAATCGAAAGTTTGAGTGGGGGGGGGGGGGGGGGGGGGGGACGCACATCAAAAG